GGCCCACTCACATAGATACAAGGGCCCTCACCCACTTAGATCCAAGGGCCCTCACCCACTTAGATCCAAGGGCCCTCACCCACTTATATCAAAGAGTCCTCACTCACTTAGATCAAAGGGCCCTCACTCACTTAGATCCAAGGACCCTCACCTACTTAGATCCAAGGGCCCTAACTCACTTAAATCCAAGGGCCCCACTCACATAGATCCAAGGGCCCTCACCCACTTAGATCCAAGGGCCCTCACCCACTTAGATCCAAGGGCCCTCACCCACTTAGATCCTCACTTTTTTCAAACCAAGGGCCTTCACTCTTTTAGAACCAAGGGCCCTCACTCACTTAAATCCAAAGGCCCTTACACACTTAGATCTAAGGGCCCTCACACACTTAGATTTAAGGGCACTCACACACTTAGATCAAAGATCTCACACTCACTTAGATCAAAGGGCCCTCACCGACTTAGATCAAAGGGCCCTCACCCACCTAGATCCAAGGGCCCTCACCCACTTAGATCAAAGAGCCCTTACTCACTTAGATTAAAGGGCCCTCACTCACTTAGATCAAAGGGCCCCCACCCACTGAGATCCAAGGGCCCTAACGCACATAAATCCAAGGGCCCTAACTCACTTAAATCCAAGGGCCCTAACTCACTTAAATCCAAGGGCCTTACTCACTTAGAACAAAGGGGCCCTCACTCACTTAGTACCAAGGGCCCTCACCCACTTAATTCTAAGAGCCCTCACTCAAATCCAGATGCCCTCACCCTCTTATATTCAAGGGCCCTCACTCACTTAGAACCAAGAGCCATCACTCACTTAGAACCAAGGGCCCTCACTCACTTAGAACCAAGGGCCCTCACTCACTTAGATCCAAGGGCCCCCACTCACTTAGATCCAAGAGCCATCACTCACTTAGATCCAAGGGCTCTCACTCACTTAGATCCAAGGGTCCTCACTCACTTAAATCCAAGAGCCCTCAATCACTTAGAACCAAAGGCCCTCACCCACTTAGATCCAAGGGCCCTCACCCACCTAGATCCAAGGGCCCTCACCCACTTAGATCCAAGAGCCATCACTCACTTAGATCCAAGGGCCCTCACTCACATAGATCCAAGGGTCCTCACCGACTTAGATCTAAGTGCCCCACTCACATAGATCCAAGGGCCCTCACCCACTTAGATCCAAGGGCCCTCACCCACCTAGATCCAAGGGCCCTCACCCACTTAGATCCAAGGGCCCTCACCTACTTAGATCAAAGAGCCCTCACTCACTTAGATTAAAGGGCCCTCACTCACTTAGATCAAAGGGCCCCCACCCACTTAGATCCAAGGGCCCTAACGCACATAAATCCAAGGGCCCTAACTCACTTAAATCCAAGGGCCCTAACTCACTTAAATCCAAGGGCCTTACTCACTTAGAACAAAGGGGCCCTCACTCACTTAGTACCAAGGGCCCTCACCCACTTAATTCTAAGAGCCCTCAGTCAAATCCAGATGCCCTCACCCTCTTATATTCAAGGGCCCTCACTCACTTAGAACCAAGAGCCATCACTCACTTAGAACCAAGGGCCCTCACTCACTTAGAACCAAGGGCCCTCACTCACTTAGATCCAAGGGCCCCCACTCACTTAGATCCAAGAGCCATCACTCACTTAGATCCAAGGGCTCTCACTCACTTAGATCCAAGTGTCCTCACTCACTTAAATCCAAGAGCCCTCAATCACTTAGAACCAAAGGCCCTCACCCACTTAGATCCAAGGGCCCTCACCCACCTAGATCCAAGGGCCCACACCGACTTAGATCCAAGGGCCCTCACCCACTTAGATCAAAGAGCCCTCACTCACTTAGATCCAAGGGCTCTCACTCACTTAGATCCAGGGTCCTCACTCACTTAAATCCAAGAGCCCTCAATCACTTAGAACCAAAGGCCCTCACCCACTTAGATCCAAGGGCCCTCACCCACTTAGATCAAAGATCCCTCACTCACTTAGATCAAAGGGCCCTCACTCACTTAGATCCAAGGGCCCTCACCCACTCAGATCCAAGGGCCCAAACTCACTTAAATCCAAGGGACCTAACTCACTTAAATCAAAGGGCCTTACCCACTTAGATCCAAGGGCCCTTACCCACTTAGATCAAGGGGCCCTCACTCAATTAAATCCAAGGGCTGTCACCCACTTAGATCCAAGGGCCCTCACACATTTAGATCCAAGGACCCCCACTCACTTAGATCCAAGAGCCATCACTCATTTAGATCCAAGGGCCCTGACTCACTTACATCCAAGGGCCCTCACTCACTTAGATCCAAGGGCCCTCACTCACTTAGATCCAAGAGCCCTCAATCACTTAGAACCAATGGCACTCACTCACTTAGATCCAAGGGCCCTAACTCACTCAAATCTAGGAGCCCTCACACTCTTAGATTCAAGGGCTCTCACTCACTTAGAACCAAGGGTCCTCACTCACTTAGAACCAAGGGCCCTCACTCACTTAGATCCAAGGGCCCTCACCCACTTAGATTCAAGGGCCCTCACTCACTTAGAAGCAAGGGCCCCTCACTAACTTAGATTCTAAGAGCCCTCACTCACTTAAAT